CAGCTGCATACAAAAATGTCAATAAATCCATCAGTTGTTCAGACTACTTAACTCAAATTACCCACATAGAAATACAAAATCCTTGAGAGCTTCATAGAGAGGAGACAGAGAACACCGACGCCACCTGCTGGCATGTCCACATCAGGATTTTAGCATGGCAGGAAGCCACCAGATCTACCAGTACACACAAAATATCTGCATTGTCTAAATATTGTTCCAAACCTTACATCGTGTTTTGTTCTTGGACATGACCAGCCTCAGCATGGCTTATAATCAATATCATGCTAGTTAACGTTTGTCTGAACTAAATACTGCACAGCTGAAGAATAGAGTAGGGTCAGTATTATCCCAGAACTGAAGAACTTTCCAACTATTTCCAGCAAACCTGAGATAAAGGGCAGCAAATTTCACAAAAATAAAACCATACAAAATGGTTTTCAAAGTCTTGTACTGTAATAAACATCAACATCATTTTCAGCCAATTATAAGAAACCCAAACAATCTGTGTGGCAAGCCACCACACAGACCAGAGTGCTACCTAATCATCATCATCATCATCATCATCATCATCATCACGTTATGTGTGGCATCTCTTTTGTATGGCAAGCAAACACGCAGATCATGGAGCTAACCAACAGCCTCTTTATAACACGAGGGCTGGATTTGGTCTGGCTGACGTAATACATAAGGGTGGGGTGTCCGATATGCACTGAACTGCATGCAGATAAAAATGAAGTAAGCTGGGTTGACCCAAGCATCCCTAATCTTGATGTCACCATAACCTCTTGTTGGGTCAATGGGTTAATAGCTGTATTGCAGGGGGTCAACATCATTATTATAAATAATGACTTTTACAGGGTTTATTTCAAAATATGATAATCTGACAATATTGTGTATATTATCTGCATCACGACTGACCCAATCAGGAAATTTAATAGCATATTTTCAAATTAAACAAATATGCAGACTCTTTGCATCAGAGCAAACTAGAGATACTACCTACCCTGAGATAAGTTCGGCAACTTCCTGATATCCGTGTTCCGTGGCGATCTCAGCAGGAGTTTCACCGTGGCGATTCTTGATTTGAGTGGCAGTCTCTCCCCCTGGTTGCTCCAGGAGAAACAGGCTTACCTCCCTTAGGCCAAGGCGAGCCGCGAAATGAAGAAGTGTCTCGCGATCCTGACACAAATCATCTACAAATACAAAGTACTTTAAATGTAGTGGCGGCAAGTGAAATGATTTTCACAGTGAAAAGTAAAGTCAATCAATGGGCGACTATAGTGAATCACCCTGTCATTTACACATGGTACAAAATCAGTCAAGAGGAAGCTACAACCAGCCATATTGAAACAGGTACCATGAAACCCTGTCAGTACCTGGAAGTGTTCAATAAATTACTATTACGACATGGGCACTAAGATACTAGTGGAAGGCCTGGAAGTCTTCAATAGATAACTATTACGACATGTGCACTAAGATACATAACTCTGTACTAGTGGAAGGCCCGGAAGTCTTCAATAGATTACTATTACGACATGGGCACTAAGGGACATCACTCAGAACTAGTGGAAGGCCCGGAAGTCTTCAATAGATTACTATTACGACATGGGCACTAAGATACTAGTGGAAGGCCTGGAAGTCTTCAATAGATTACTATTACGACATGTGCACTAAGATACATAACTCTGTACTAGTGGAAGGCCCGGAAGTCTTCAATAGATTACTATTACGACATGGGCACTAAGATACTAGTGGAAGGCCTGGAAGTCTTCAATAGATTACTATTACGACATGTGCACTAAGATACATAACTCTGTACTAGTGGAAGGCCTGGAAGTCTTCAATAGATTACTATTACGACATGTGCACTAAGATACATAACTCTGTACTAGTGGAAGGCCCGGAAGTCTTCAATAGATTACTATTACGACATGTGCACTAAGATACATAACTCTGTACTAGTGGAAGGCCCGGAAGTCTTCAATAGATTACTATTACGACATGGGCACTAAGATACTAGTGGAAGGCCTGGAAGTCTTCAATAGATTACTATTACGACATGTGCACTAAGATACATAACTCTGTACTAGTGGAAGGCCTGGAAGTCTTCAATAGATTACTATTACGACATGTGCACTAAGATACATAACTCTGTACTAGTGGAAGGCCCGGAAGTCTTCAATAGATTACTATTACGACATGTGCACTAAGGGACATCACTCAGAACTAGTGGAAGGCCCGGAAGTCTTCAATAGATTACTATTACGACATGTGCACTAAGATACATAACTCTGTACTAGTGGAAGGCCTGGAAGTCTTCAATAGATTACTATTACGACATGTGCACAAAGGGACATCACTCAGTACTAGTGGAAGGCCTGGTAGTTTGTACTGCAGTATATTGTGATAATTAGGTCTGTATTGATGCGTATTACAACAAATTGCCATAAACATACTGCAAGGTTTTGTTCCACTTCCAAATTGCCCTTCAGTTTTAAGAATGAAATAGGTTACACGCTATCCCATGATGGTGATCATTTCATTGACGAGGAGTTTGACCGCCAACTACAGTAACATTTAATCAAGGGAGGTAACACAGTGACAAACAGCAGTGCATACAATACATAAATTTCATCAGAGATTAGCTCCACCAGGAATACTTTCATTTATTTCGTCATTGATAATTTATAATAGCCAAGCCAAAGAAATACACTTATTTCTTTATTTCAATAATGATCTCCTAACATCTGCTCCTGACACACCTGTCTGCATGATGATTACTGTTTGGACCTCCTATGTATACTAGGGGACATTATCAGTAGACATGTTTTCGTAATATGGACGACTTTAGTGGGAATTGTCCTGTCCAGACTAGCAAGGTTTGACTGTATCTGGAGCCCATCTCATTGCATTCTATATATACATCAGTAGCATGGATACCTTGCCACTGCTCAAACAATCACACAATGAAACATTCAGGAATTTTATGTTTGATAATCATATTTACTTTATTACATGTGCATTTTAATATCAAAGATATAAACATTCTTTCCCCCTCATCATAACCTCCATCTCAAACACTATATTTGTCTACTATTTAAGTTTAACCATTCTGGCTCACAGGATTCAATATCACTCACTGACAATCATTATTATAACTGAAATTATTTGAACTCCGTGCACACATGGAGGCAAATGGGGATTGTACAGTAGCTTCCTTCACTTTTCCTACAAATAGTTTAAAAAAATCTTAGTGATAAGTTGAGTTTGTGTTGCTATATATCACACGTCTCTCATCTAAAGCAGTGTCAGTTCAGTGTAACCCAAGTCCAAGGTGTTGACAGACCAAGGAAAAAGGTGCAAATCATGTGATCCAAACCAACCAACCAATGACCAGAAGGTGCTCCCTTGACTGGTCGCAACTCCCCACAACACATCGCAGGCCACTAGGGCATCCATGCCCAGCTAATTCAACCCAGCAACAACAGATTTCTCCCAAGTGTTTTATAGAAACTCATTCTCCAGATATGGTTGGTTGTTGGTTGGTTTGTTGTTTAACGTCGCACTCAGCAATATTCCAGCTTTATGACGGCGGTCTGTAAATAATCGAGTCTGGACCAGACAATCCAGTGATTAATATCATGAGCATCGATCCACGCAATTGGGATCGATGACATGCATCAACCAAGTCAGCGAGTCTGACCACCCGATCCCGTTAGTGCCTTTTACGACAAGCATAGTCACCTTTTACGGCAAGCATGGGTTGCTGAAGACCTATTCTACCCCGGAATCTTCACGGGTACTCCAGATATGGACATGCATGAGTACAAGATGGGTGATGACCATCCGTCAATGTACCAATGCACTGCAACACATGTCCTAGTTTTATTAATATTAATATTAATTGTAAACAATAGTTTCTGATGGTATGTATAGGTCAGAATGTTTTAGCTATTGTTGGTTAATTGACTCTCATAATTTATATTTTTGTTTTTATAAGTATCCCCTTTGTCAGTTTTATAAGCAACCAGGTAAAATTAATAATACAGCTAATTCAAGCAATATAACTATTATAACCAATACAACTTAAACTAATGATACAATTATTTCATTTGTTGTTTCATGCCACACTAAGCACCATCTATGGGAGCCTGTATATAATTGAGTCTGGTCCAGACAAACCAGTGATTGATACCATGAGCAACATCACCATGCCACTGTGGTACAATGACATACATTAATCACCTATGTCAACGGAATCGTCAGGCTCACTGACTTGGTTGATGCTAAAGATATAAATCACTGGATTATCTGGTCCAGACTGGATTATTTTCAAATCACCGTCATATAGCTGGAATACTGCTTATCGCTTCAATAAACAACAAACAAACAAACAAAACCAAGCCTGACAACTTGATCCATTATGTTACCCCGTAGACATGCAAATGGGACCCATTGTAACCAGTGCTATTAACCCACACAACTACTGTTACTACAGCTACGTACCTGTATCATCACCAAGTATATTCCAACCAATCGGAAGGTATATGCTTTTCAGGGCACTCACAAGTCTCTCATCCAAAGTAGACACAATTTCATTGGCTAAATCAAACTGCTCTGACTTGATAAGTTCCAGGTCATCCAGGGCATGAATGTTGTAGACACTATCTATGAGAAACACGGCCATGTGGTAGGCGGAGTCATAGTGGAAGTGGAAGGTGTCCAAGCAGACGACACACGTCTTCCCATCATGCACCTGGTACACACTCAGGCGGACATCTTCAGAAACACCATGCACTGGAAACAAAGAAGAAACATTGTAAACAATTGCAGCCAGAAACACACAAGCAAAACGTGAAGAGGTATGAGCTGTGACACTCTCTACCTCAACAGTTGTTTAAGATAATGGCTGAAGTTTAGTTTTAAGATCTAAGTAACGTATTTCCCATAATAAATGTCTGGGCCACTTTAAACAATTTATAAAGGAGGTGCTTATTAAAACCACATACACTTTTGTGTTTACTGTAAAAAGATCTGCAATATGTAGAAGACAATACGAAGTGTTCATGTCAATTACAGACTTCAAGGGACTTTCAGAGCTAACAGTTTACAGTGTGGTCTAGAAGGGGGTGCCGAGATTTATACGGTGAATACAGAAAATGAAATGCATATGACACTGTACAAATGTTTAAATATTCAATACTGCTTAAGAAAAAGTATAAGTTCACCAAAGTGCCATTTTGATTCTGTGACCTAGGTCTTCGGCACAACCAAAATCAATCAACTTAAGACCATGTTTAATCAAGTTATTGTGGTACAGTCCAGGAGCATTACATCCACTGATGGATCAGTGACAAGACAACCTGCCAGGATTTAATACATAGTCCAGCAGATTGGACTGCATATGGAAACCAAGAAAAGAATGCACTTGTTGTACAGATTGTGGAAATGTTGGTGTTGTTGTAAAAAGCAGTCAGCAATATTTTTTTAATTGTTGTTTAATGCCTCACTCAGCAATATTCCAGTTATATGAGGGGGGGCTTAAAAAAATAATCGAGTCTGGACTAGGCAATCCAGTGACTGACATCATGAACATCAATCTATGCAACTGGGATACAAAGGCATGCATCAACCAAGTCAGACCAGCCGATCACATTAAGGGTTGCTGAAGACCAATCCAAAGAAATATAGCAATATTCAAGCCAAGCAATATTCATGGCAGACTTTACATATATAGTCTGGCCTAGAAAAATCAGTGGTCGATATCATGAGCAACACCCCATGCCTTCGGGGTACAAAGACACACAACCAACCAAGACTCCTGATCCATTCAGTCACCTCCTTCAACAAGCCCTCACCCAGGTCCCCATGGGGAGGAATGACAAGAGATGAGGAACGGACATGATGGAGAGATAAGACAGTGATTCTAGAAGAGCAATGAAGGGGGAATTTATAACATACTCCAATAAAATGAGTGAGTGAGTGAGTGAGTGAGTTTGGTTTTTCGCCGCTTTTCAGCAATATCACGGCGAGGGACACCAAAAATGGGCTTCACACATTGTACCCATGTCAGAAATCGAACCCGGGTCTTCGGCGTGACGAGCGAAAGCTTTAACCACTAGGCTACCCGACCACCCCCCCTCATGACTCAACAATTCAATTCTCTCAAATCACTTGGCAAAGCTATGCGTATGAAAATATGTCAGCCATCTTTATTGTTTTCCAAATACTGCCGTTGAAATGAGCAGTTCTATAAGGCCTGAATGACACTTGCCACATTGGAGAAAATCCTCGACAACTTTTAATCAGCATTATTCAACACAATCCACCTGACGCAAATCAAACTGTCAGAAAGAATTGATTCATCGTTTTTTACACTCTAAAATAAGACAGACTTTGATAAAACGGGCAGTCAGCAAAAATCGGATCATATTCCATTATGCAAAACTGGTTCTTCATGAAGAGAGAACTGTCAATCAGAGGTTGTCCTTGGTCGATACAATAATTAGTGCAGATCAAGTACAGACAAGTACTGACGTGCTGTTAGACATCTCCACACAGTTTATGCCAATTGGCCATCTCAACTGGACTCTTAACAAGCTTGAAAACACTTGAATTCTCAGACAAAAGTTCATGATTGTGTATCTATCAGGGTTTTCTCTCATGCTATCTGTGGAAGTACAATGACTCAAAATCAAGCCTACTATCTCAAAACTGAAGCAACTACATTTGGTTCAAGCTTGACGATGCACGTTTCTGCAGATAGTGCTTCAATTTTCTCCCAAACTGGAACATGAAACTAAACATTTGGTGTCTTCTTAATCAAACAACATAATTTCAAAATTTTATAGTAATGTATTTTCATAATCCTAAAAAGGTTAACCACAGGAAAAAATGAAGACATATTGTTTACCAAAAAATTAAAACCATTAATTTGATCACTTTTTCAAGCTGTCAAAAGCCTGCCCTACATTTCCCTTTTCGCCCCACATTCAGTTTTAGCTATTCCTATTCTGTAAATTAGGTTTCTATGCCACCTCATAACTAGTCTCTGTACAAATAATATTGGAGCGTCCATCTGGACATACGTCATCTGCAAGCAAGGCAGTCCTGTGGTACATCACATTAGCAAATGGTTAACTGGTAATGTGTCACAGTGTGACAGGCAAGACAAGCTCCAGGTTACAAGGCTCCATTTCTTGTCACACTGTCTAATTTAACAAACTCCAATTTCACTTTTTTTTAAATCATATGGTTACATTTCTAGAACAGATAGACAAAGAAGTTTTTTGAGTTGCTGTGAAGTGTGTGACCCTCAAATAGACTGCTGATGCAGTGTTAATGTTTTCAAAATTTGCTCAAAAACTATTTCGTTTGTTTGTTTGTTGTTTAACGCCGCATTCAGCAATAGTCCAGCTATATAAAGGCGGTCTGTAAATAATCGAGTCTGGACCAGACAATAAAGTGATAGGCATCATGATCATCGATCCACGCAATTGGGATATGATGACATGCATTAACAAAATCAGCAAGCCTGACCACCTGACCGCCTCATCCCATTAGTCGCCTCTTACGACAAGCATAGTCGCTTTTTACGGCAAGCATGGGTAGCTGAAGACCTATTCTACCCCAGATCTTCATGGGTCTCAAAAAACTAATTGTGTTCTTTAGGTGTTTGCTTTTGATAGCAACTGTTACTATGAAAAAGTATGTCATAATTAAAATGAAGATCAATAACTATGTTTATTAAAAATATTGTTTTCAAATAGACAATTCGTTCTGATTATGCGTCACAAATTTGCTGAGATAAAAAAATCAACAAAAATAGCAAAGACAGGCCTCACCATCTTTAACAACAATGCCTTACTGACTCTTCAACATACACAAAATAATTTGCACAGCATAAACAATTCAATATAATTTGTTTACAAATTGACAAAACATCTTTCTGAAGATTATGCATGAATGTCTTAGAAGAAAAATCAACAAAATCATGCCACAGATTCGTACACAACATTGCTCTTATAAGACAATGGCAAATAGTTAAATTATCACAGAATTAAACATCACGTCACTACCACCACAATTAAAGGTAAATCGGAAGCCATGACAGTCTTTATAGTGTACCAGGTAGGATCCTTGTTGCGTGAAGCGCCTATAAAATCCCTTATGAGATATAGTGAAGATATACATACACTCAAGAACTACTGGTAGGCCAGGATAAGTTGAGTTGTGACCTGACAATTAACCCTGTATGAGAACAATTGAGACGTATCATGAGAGCCAAGACCAGTGGCGATGCTAGCTTTTGACAATGCTCAGAGGCATTTGTACAATCCTTCTCCATGTGACACTTTAGGCCAATTCTCCGGCTTGAGAATGTATAACTTGACCATGCTTACAAAGCCTTGACATATATATTTGTTTGAAGTTTACTTCCAGCAAACAAATTTTCGAGACTCCTGATATTGACTTGTCACATCGACCTCTTACTGGTCTTATGAGCAACATGTGTCCACAAGAGAGTAGTCAATGTCATCGTCATGACCTGCACATGCATTCACCCTCTCTTCCTGTAACAAACCTAATATGATAGCCCAAATTCTGTCTCAAGGCACTTTGTGAGTTGTTCAACTTATCCTGGAATACTAGTAATGTTTAACTATTTATCCTCAACTGCTACACAGCATAGCCTTTCTCTCTCACAGAACACCTCTGGTATTTTCAACAAAATATTTTTATGAGTTTTCAAAAAGAAAGTATTCTACTTAAATATTACCAAGGTGAAATCAAAGTTTAAAGAGCCATAAAGACATATGGACTTGCATATTTTAATAGAAAAAGCCTAAAAGAATATATATACAGAACATAGATGTTGGAATGAACATATTTCTATAATCTACTAAATTCCCATGAAACACTGTATGCAGAACATAGATGTCAGAATGCACATGTATATCTTGTGTATCTATGAACTACTAAATTCCCATGAAACACTGTATGCAGAACATAGATGTCAGAATGCACATGTATATCTTGTGTATCTATGAACTACTAACTCCTAAATTCCCATGAAAGAGCTAAAATAAGTTCATTTAGTTTACTGAGTCAATATCCCACTTTTTTCCCCCATTGCTTGTTTTTAAAGTTTAATTCAAACATTACAGACCAACCCCTGCATTATTTACAACTGGTAACCATACAACTTACATTCTGCAAATGGAAAATGTCTTTAGAATGTCGAAAGGCTTGCTTAATTATCTAATTGTGTAAAATGTGACATCTAGATGAGAAGTAAATATTCGGCTATAACAGTAAATAACAGAACACTTCAGCCTGTGAGTAAAGATCTAACAAGCTTTGTTCTTCAACTGTTTCCATAACAGAAGGATGAATCACATTGCCAGTGATGTGGACACAGATTAATATCTGTCCTCCCACATAACAACAATATCTGACTGTATGATTTCCTGATGAATGCAATACACACTCCCTCAGTTATTTCATAAAGGCACAGTGTCTACACTGACATATCCCCTACCACCTCACTCAGTGATCACATATCCCTTACCACCTCACTCAGTGATCACATATCCCCTACCATCTCACTCAGTGATCACATATCCCCTACCACCTCACTCAGTGATCACATATCCCCTACCACCTCACTCAGTGATCACATATCCCCTACCACCTCAGTCAGTGATCACATATCCCCTACCACCTCACTCAGTGATCACATATCCCCTACCACCTCACTCAGTGATCACATATCCCCTACCACCTCAGTCAGTGATCACATATCCCCTACCACCTCACTCAGTGATCACATATCCCCTACCACCTCATTCAGTGATCACATATCCCCTACAACCTCACTCAGTGATCCCATATCCCCTACCACCTCACTCAGTGATCACATATCCCCTACCACCTCACTCAGTGATCACATATCCCCTACCACCTCACTCAGTGATCACATATCCCCTACGACCTCACTCAGTGATCACATATCCCCTACGACCTCACTCAGTGATCACATATCCCCTACGACCTCACTCCGTGATCACATATCTCCTACGACCTCACTCAGTGATCACATATCCCCTACAACCTCACTCCGTGATCACATATGCCCTACCACCTCACTCAGTGATCACATATCCCCTACCACCTCAGTCAGTGATCACATATCCCCTACAACCTCACTCAGTGATCACATATCCCCTACCAACTCACTCAGTGATCACATATCCCCTACCACCTCACTCAGTGATCACATATCCCCTACCACTTCACTCAGTGATAACATATCCCCTACGACCTCACTCAGTGATCACATATCCCCTACGACCTCACTCAGTGATCACATATCCCCTACCACCTCACTCAGTGATCACATGTCCCCTACAACCTCACTCAGTGATCACATATCCCCTACCACTTCACTCAGTGATCACATATCTCCTACAACCTCACTCAGTGATCACATATCCCCTACAACCTCACTCAGTGATCACATATCCCCTACCACCTCACTCAGTGATCACATATCCCCTACCATCTCACTCAGTGATCACATATCCCCTACCACCTCACTCAGTGATCACATATTCCCTACGACCTCACTCAGTGATCACATATCCCCTACCACCTCACTCAGTGATCACATATCCCCTACCACCTCACTCAGTGATCACATATCCCCTACAACCTCACTCAGTGATCACATATCCCCTACCACCTCACTCAGTGATCACATATCCCCTACCACCTCACTCAGTGATCACATATCCCCTACAACCTCACTCAGTGATCACATATCCCATGAAACCTCACTCAGTGATCACATATCCCCTACAACCTCACTCAGTGATCACATATCCCCTACAACCTCACTCAGTGATCACATATCCCCTACAACCTCACTCAGTGATCACATATCCCCTACCATCTCACTCAGTGATCACATATCCCCTACCACCTCATTCAGTGATCACATATCCCCTACCACCTCACTCAGTGATCACATATCCCTTACCACCTCACTCAGTGATCACATATCCCCTACAACCTCACTCAGTGATCACATATCCCCTACCACCTCACTCAGTGATCACATATCCCCACAACCTCACTCAGTGATCACATATCCCCTACAACCTCACTCAGTGATCACATGTTGTCTGAACAGATATCATGTTATCATGACAAAAATGTTGTCCCATGCAATCTTTAGTTTGACTTGTACCATATGTATTTTTCAGTTGAACAGTTGACTTGACCTTGCATGTATTTGTGACCGGTGACCGGTGGAGCAGGACACGCACACCTTTTCATGGACACCTGGTATCATCAGTGATTCATAAATACATCGACTCTACTTCTAGCAAAGACTTTGTGTGGCTATGGAAAGGGTTTTGTCCCTTTTATTTTATTTACATATAAACAAGGGATTAAATCATTTCTTTTTTGGCTTGTATGTCGGAAGTTTCAAATACATAATGACCTGTGAAATATAATCACAAACACTGGCAATGTTACAAGTGACATCAGCTTGGGATGCAATGATACAGAAGGTCACAGCGTAACGCACGGCTTGAATCTTCTCTCTGTACGCTACAATATTGTGGACTGAAACAAACACTGAACCAAAACAGACAGTACCATAGTCCAGTGTCAAAACCAACCCACTGGTGAAGTGATGTTTGTCAGTAACATTACTATTGCATGTCATCTGTCACAAGATGTGTGGGGACATGCCCTCGAATCTCCATACAAAGACAAACAGGTGGACTGAGGGGGTATTTAAACTCCAGCAATCAAAACAAAAGGCAAATATGGGATATTGGGGACCACTTCTGCCCAAGAATCCCCAGAGCAACAAACATGGGCTACTGGGGATCTATTCTGCCACAGAATCCCTACAGGTAGACAAGCATGAAGTATAGGGGATCTATTCTGGTCAGAATCCCTACAGGTAGACAAGCATGAAGTATTAGGGAACTATTCTGGTCAGAATCCCAACAGAGAAGAACGGGGCCTCTTACAACAAGCATGGCCTGCTGGGAACTGCAACAGAGAAGAACAGAGCCTCTTACAACAAGCATGGCCTGCTGGGAACTGCAACAGAGAAGAACAGGGCTTCTTACAACAAGCAAGACTTGCTGGGAACTGCAACAGAGAAGAACAGGGCCTCTTACAACAAGCATGGCCTGCTGGGAACTGCAACAGAGAAGAACAGGGCCTCTTACAACAAGCGTGGCCTGCTGGGAACTGCAACAGAGAAGAACAGAGCCTCTTACAACAAGCAAGACTTGCTGGGAACTGCAACAGAGAAGAACAGGGCCTCTTACAACAAGCATGGCCTGCTGGGAACTGCAACAGAGAAGAACGGGGCCTCTTACAACAAGCATGGCCTGCTGGGAACTGCAACAGAGAAGAACAGAGCCTCTTACAACAAGCGTGGCCTGCTGGGAACTGCAACAGAGAAGAACAGAGCCTCTTACAACAAGCAAGACTTGCTGGGAACTGCAACAGAGAAGAACAGGGCCTCTTACAACAAGCATGGCCTGCTGGGAACTGCAACAGAGAAGAACAGGGCCTCTTACAACAAGCATGGCCTGCTGGGAACTGCAACAGAGAAGAACAGGGCCTCTTACAACAAGCGTGGCCTGCTGGGAACTGCAACAGAGAAGAACAGAGCCTCTTACAACAAGCAAGACTTGCTGGGAACTGCAACAGAGAAGAACAGGGCCTCTTACAACAAGCATGGCCTGCTGGGAACTGCAACAGAGAAGAACAGGGCCTCTTACAACAAGCAAGGCTTGCTGGGAACTGCAACAGAGAAGAACAAGGCCTCTTACAACAAGCATGGCCTGCTGGAAACTGCAACAGAGAAGAACAAGGCCTCTTACAACAAGTATGGTCTGCTGGGAACTGCAACAGAGAAGAACAGGGCTTCTTACAACAAGCATGGCTTGCTGAGAATTCCCACCGAGACATGTGTAACTGTTTATGTGTATTGCTGTGGAAATACTCCATTCCTTCATTCAAAGCAACGTCCAACTTGATTCCTTGCAAACCTCAAAAAGTATAATTGAAAGAAATATCAAAAGACATCAGTCAGCAAATCCCTGATGTGTCTCCAAGGACCACGAAGAAATATTAAATGTTTTATGAGTTAGCTCTAGAAACGAAACACGATGGATGCATGGACGGAGCCTGTTTCTATATTCCCCGCAAATTTTTAAAACAAAACATAAAAATAATGACATGATGTCATAGGCCATTAATGAAAGTGTGTCTTCTGTTCATCCATCACTGCACAACCTCACATGGATAATGTGGACTCCAGCTTCCCCGTGACTACAATCAAGGATATCGGGAACAGAAGATATCATAGCCCATGGGTATCACGGCCTGGGACCAGTTATAATATTGCCATTGCGATATAAACATCATTCAAGTTCAATCATCTGAATCATGCAGAAAATTGAAACCCCTGTCATCAAATGCAGATTTGAGTTGGATTTTATTTCAAATCCAGATTTAGCCAGCTGTGATGATTCTCTTTGATTACGACTTGCAGTCCAGTTGATCAATATCAGAAACAACCACGCCGCTCAAGATGCCAGCTGACGAACATCGGCACAGTCACTGGACAAAAAGTCTCGAACTATCGGTTACTTCCTGCTCGATTTCCCATGTATACATACACGAATTGCGTCAACGTCACAGTCGACGTCACTGACGAACATCACAGATCTGTTAAATACATTCCTAGTCAATACTGATTTGTGCATTGATCATGGGGACGCACTGTTTGACGTAAAGTCATTGTGAGTAGGGGGAAGGGGATCCTCTCCTTGACCTTAAACGTCATTGTGGGGGAGGAGAGGGACCTCCATATCTCCATATCTGACAAAGTCTGAGTGTGTGTGTGTGTGTGAGAGAGAGAGAGAGAGAGAGAGAGAGAGAGAGAGAGAGAGAGAGAGAGAGAGAGAGAGAGAGAGAGAGAGAGAGGGAGAGAGAGAGAGAGAGAGAGAGAGTGAGAGAGAGAGAGAGAGAGAGAGAGAGAGAGAGAGAGGCAATAAGGGGAGAGAGAGGGAATAAGAGGGGAGAGAGAGTCTTTTATTTTACTCACTGCTGAGAAATCCTCACCTCTTTATTTGACATAGTCATTGTAGAGAAGCCAATATTTCATGTGGAGAAATGTAGCTAATGCGGAGAAAGCCCCCCATTGCATAAATGGGGTGGGACACGTCTATTTCATTTGAAGGCATTGTGGGTAGGTGTGTGGCCACCTCCTCTCTATCTAAGAAATACATGACGAGTAGGAGTTGTTTATTGTATGATACAACGACCACGATTGTTTCTTTTTCATATGAGATATCAACATTATGTACAGCCCCTTTAAGGATGATGACAAAATGTACAAGCTATAAAAATATTTATCCGTATTTAAACAATGATGACTCCCTCAATAGAATCCAACCGTGGCAATGTCGACAAGTCCATTTTATGCACAGGTTGGTATTTCCCGCATATTCTCACAATCTTTATGTTAATTACCTGTACCTTTTCTCCCCATACCGATTGTCATATCTCTCCCACTTTTGGATGCGATCGTTCGGCCATCACGTTTATCTGCGTTGCCCAGCTACATCTATGGGGAACAACTCAGTCGACACTCCCCTCTAAAAAATAACGTCATCCAATGACATCATCTAGGTGCGAGCGCATGTTCGAATCTCCAGAAGTGACATACAAATAAAACAATGTTTTATCGTGAAATAAACCATACTTCATTCTTCATTGTTCTTTGTGATTTATCTCTCATATATATCCATATGAAAGTGGGAAAGTTACATTATGCCTATTGTTTTCTTCAAGACACTATGTAGAGGGGAATGTCCGAGTAACTCTCCATTCATTTAGAAATAATGGAGCAGAGGCCCAATATTTTTAAGGAATGGAGAGTTACGAGGATATTCCCTTACTTAAAACTCATCCCTACTTTTACACTTTGACAAAATATTCTGTTGTGGAAAATATTTGAAAAGTATGCCAGAACTCTTGGTTGTCTGTATTAATACTGCATGAGTTGCCCTTGTGTGATGCACGTGCACCAAGCTCTGTGGCAAGCTGACTTTTACAATGCATGGTACACGGCTCTTCATAATTTCCTTGGGTCCTAAACTAGTTTTTATCAATCGCTTGCACATTGTTAATACATGCTGACGGGAATAATAGGAAATATAGAGCCCCGAACAAGGATATATATATATACTACCTGATTTGTTTTTTCTTGTCAAAGGTTTATCTAATTGCTAGGAATATGAACATCGTTGTAGGTAACCTGCTCTAACACAAATTATATACATATTATTTTGAGCTTTTAAACATTATGCAAAATTATGAAAATATTTAATAGTTAATTTCCCACCATACATTCATGTGCCACCATAGCTGAAGTTGACAATTACACGTCCTCAACTCAAACAATCCGGGTTTGAACCCCGCTGGCGACACATGTTTTGGGGGAAAAAATGAAATTATTCACTTGTCAATAAATGTAAATAATAGTTCCGTCAATTCCAAGTGGAAATTAAATCAAATGTTGGTTCAAGATAATGTATAGTTGATAAATAATTCTCCATTCCTGAAAAATAATGGAGCATTCAAACAATAGAATGAGGTCAGAGATGTTTGTTAATTAGACATCTGTTACAATCATGGACAAAGAAGAATGTTTGTGGAAGTGACTGAAGCAGCAGTATAATCTGTGAAATGAGGAGCGGCAGACCAACGTTCGGATTTCACAAGGAAAAGACCGCCTCCGTGGTCTAGTGGTAGAGCGTCTGCCCAGAGAGCGGAAGGTCCGGGGTTCGATCACCGTCCGCATCATACCAAAAGACGTTAAAAGATGGTACTTGTTGTTACCCTGTCTGGCGCTCGGCATTAAGGGGTAAAACAAGGACTTGTCGGCTCGGAGTCAGTATACTGTGTCTGAGTGGGGTATTCATGTTAAAACTGCGGCATGGTAGCTCAGTGGGCTAGCACTATAAATCGTCATTAGTCCGGACTAGTACAAGCAGCCACACACACACATACACATACATGCACGTCACTATATAAGTGCAATAATCTTGGACGCGACGTTAAACCCAATTTTAACCTCACCTCACCTCACCTCACCTCACCTCACCGCCCTAACTCTCTGGGACAGGGCCCCAATTCTCTTTGATGGAGCCTTAACTCTCTTTGATGGGGCCCTAACTCTCTGGGACAGGGCCCTAACTCTCTGGGACGGGGCCCTAACTCTCTGGAACAAGACCCTAACTCTCTTGGATGGGGCCCTAACTCTCTGGGACGGAGCCCTAACTCTCTGGGACGGTGCCCTAACTCTCTGGGATGGGGCCCTAACTCTCTTTGATGGGGCCCTAACTCTCTGGGACAGGGCCCTAACTATCTGGAACAGGGCCTTAACTCTCTGGGACGGTGCCCTGACTCTCTGCGATGGTGCCCTAACTCTCTGGGACGGTGCCCTAACTCTCTGGGACGGTGCCCTAACTCTCTGGGACGGTGCCCTGACTCTCTGGGATGGGGCCCTAACTCTCTGGGACGGGGCCCCAACTCTCTGGGATGGGGCCCCAACTCTCTGGGACGGTGCCCTAACTCTCTGGGATGGGGCCCCAACTCTCTGGGATATTGCTGACAGCAGCAACAACATTCACTCACTCAACCCCTTTATATCTTGCAGGGAATGTCAATATTACTGTAGCCATGGTGACATGATGATGAGAAGGATAGTTTTGCAAAAGTTAGGAGCTGGCATATGTTTACGCTTATGGTGTTGAGAATTTAGCTGCTGCTCAGGTAGGCAGAAGGGATTCATGGTTTATGACACAGAATGTGCTTGCAAGAAAGCCACATTGTATGTTTAATAAACGTTACATTGCTTGTCTGGTGAATTCCGCCCATGGAGATATGTGTAGGAATATGCATCAAACTTGCTTCGTATGAATGAAAATGGTGACCTACTTTTAGCATTCGTTTTGTGTATTCACCCTTCACCCTTCACCAATGTGTCAAAATATCACCATATTTTATGTGATTATGAAAACAAATTCAGATCTGATTAAATATAATGTAGCTTAACAAATATTTACATATCAAATCACAAATCTTCTGTAAACATGGAGATCCATAAGCACATAAACACTGCAATAATCATAAAAAGGATACGTTCACCTTTTCGCGAACACCTGGTATCATCACTATTTCATAGTGATTCATAAACACATGCTCATGACATTGTCGGAATCGTTCAATCGAGATTTCTTAGGAATATGGAAAGAGTTTGGTCGCTTGTATTCACCATCCCTGTGCTCATGTTTCAGCAGAGAGGATGAGACACCTCCTGCATCACTTTGTCGTGTAAA